TTTAGTACTGATCAACGACATTTGAATTGACTCTAGCATTTTGACCTCGCTTCAAAAATTAAAACCCTGATATTTCAAAAACTATGAGAGGTGTGGAGGAACAGAATGGGGCGCTCGATAGCGAATTCAATTCTCTATAAGGGTGCAATCGGAGCAAAACAAATTGCGCCATATAGTATAATAGATAAAGAGAGAGCAAACTGTGACGATGTCACCAAACAGTGCCGTGGCCTGTGGCACATATTTTTTCTTAACTTTCTGTTTGAAGAGATATTTATATTTGTTGATAAATGTTTTGACTACGTCTTGGTGTATACGTTGGTATCATACTAATTAATTACGAAAAAAACGTATTAAAATGTTAACAAAAGGTACAAAACTAGTATCGACGTATAGGACACATCAAGTACATATAATATCAGAAAAATAATGGCTGTACTTAAACTGCCGTTAAACGGTAGCTTACTAAAATGCCGTTAATAAGTATGACGTCGTTGATGTAACGCACTTGACGGCTTTATGAAATATAGGAATTTTATAAGGACTAACCAACGCTATTCACCCCTCCAAATAACCAACGCAACTAGCCTCGACACTGATAAAAAATATAAAAAACAAATATAAATTAGTAAAAATCAACCAACCCCACCAAATAACCAACTAACCAATGAATTTACACCCTCCAAATAACCACGCTTGCCAACCAGCCAAATAACTAAACCAATCCAATCAAAAAGAGTGAAACCAATGCAATAAGATCACGCTATAAGCAAAAAAAAATATAAAAAAGTCTTGGTCGGCGTGAGAATTGAACCACGGACCATTCGCTTACGAAGCGATAGCCTCAGCCACTGACCGCTGCAAAATGCTCAAGGTTAGGCATTACTTTCCGCCCACATGAACGACGTCACAATATCTATTAACGGCATTTTAGTAGGCGACCGTTTAACGGCTGCTTAAGTACATCGAAAAATAATTATCGAATTCAATAAGAAAACGCTAAAAAGGTGGTGCGGACTGTTTATTTACCTATGAAACGTAACTTCTGGCTCTTTCTTATGGCTGCTGCTTTTACACTTGAAAGCTGAACAACTAATCACCATTGTAACAAAGTTCACTACACACAAACTATTAAAAATCGGTAAAATAGTCGCTGGTGACCAGATGATGACTCATTGTTTGCCATCAAAAGAATGGTGTCTAAGGTCACAAATTCTGCTGCAGCCCGTATATGGGCGTTACATGTCCTTATATTCTTTAGTCGTTGAGATAAAATATAAGATATGAAAGTAGTTTCTAAAAATGTACTAATATACCTGATTTTTTTTTATCCCATTTAAAATTTACACATCTCTTCAGTATATACCAATAAAAAGTTTTTTTTGAGGGTAAGTTTTATTGTGGGCATTTTTTGTCGGTTGAATGTATTCCGCTATTTCATTATAAGGATCTGGCAAATCTGAATCGTTCTCTTTGACTAACCATATTATAGGAACTAGATTAAAACACTTGATTTTCAAAAGAAACTTATATTACAATACCTTTAAATATAATCACATAAAGGGTCAAGCAATTAGAATCACTAAATTTTAATTAAATTAATAAATAGTGTAAAAAGTTAACAACACAATCGTAAAAATCGTCTAATATCAACAAAAATTATCTATATCTTCGCGGGTTAATTTTTAAATTCACCTTTGATTGGCAAAGGCCGAACTAAAAATAAACATTCAGATCTACCAAATTCTGATACATCTTGTTATTCGTGAAACAATAAGTTGGCACAACCAAAAATAATAGAAAAAGTATACAGGGTGATTCACGGCCATGGTACGTTAGACGTTAATGGAAAACAGGTGACAGGATTTTTTTTAAATTTGGATTTTTGCATAAAGACGTCTGTTCCATCTGTATATTATTTTCAGCATACAGTGCTGCTGCTTCATACTAAAAGTGGTAGCATCTAATGGACCACCCGGTATATTATTAGATTTTTCGAAACTACTTTCATATTTCTTTCAGTTTCTCTCTAATCTCTAATAGTTTTCGAGATTAAACATTAAATTTAATTGACAAAAACATGATCTTGAATCAGCGTTTGTTAAATAAACGACATATTGAAAGCTGAAGTTTGGTTTATAGGTTAAGGAAAGTCCACAAACAATCTATCTAAATCAACCCGTTTAAAATTAGAAAAATGCTACCATAAATATTTTAGACAGATGGAGCAGGTGCCTTTATGTAAAAATCGAATTTAAAAAAATATCACCAGTTCTCCATAAATATCTTAACGATCCATCGCCGTGAATCATCCTGTATATTAGAAATACGTTAAATAATTAATCAACTGGGCGATACTATACTTATAGGACAAAACAATAACCTGCCAAAATTATAACAATTTTGTTATTATACAGGGTGCCTTAAAATCTTTTTAAATATATTCTTATTAATTTATTACACAACATTAATTATTCTATATACAACAATAACTGAAATTATCTCAAAAACCAGTCATTCCATTTAAAAAGATCACTAAAATTTTAGTAAAATTAAAACATTTATTACACTTTTTAGTCAAACAATGTCCGTTTAAACTTGAAGACCCTGTATAATTACTCACAACGTTAAAATATCAAATGTACATACATTTAATATCAACTATATAACCCTATGACTATAATAATTCAAAAATTGCAACAATTTTACTAGAGATACATAGTATCGATTTACAATAATATATTCTTAACAGCGGGGCTGTAAAAAATTAAAATTTCCTTTACACACATCTATCAATGCGTTGTTATTTCTTAAACTTAAGAGGTGTAAGTAACGAAAAACAATTTTTGACACCCTAGCTGTTATTATTTTTTAGTGTTAAAACAGCTAAAAAAAGATCTGTGCAGTACATACTCTATGGTTAACAACGCAGTCTGGAGATTCTTACATTTGAGAATCAAACATACAGTTTGTACAAATATCGTTTAATGTTACGTCATAAGTGTCATTAGGTACTTTTGACAATGACAAAATCATAGTTTGTAAACCTACCTGACCATTGACTGGTGTTTAATTGTTACGTGTTACGGTTTCAATTTAAACATGTTTGCAATCTTTTTTAAATTACTCAAAATTGGTTGGTCCAAAATTGTTCAAATTTGGCATGTGTATTTACCATACATAAACCTTTAAAAAATCTATTTACGACTTCGCTGTAAAATCAATAGGGGAGCCAATATTTTAACAATTCAAAATTTGCATGGGATTTCCTATGTTAACGACGATGCACCACCCGGTATATGCCCCTAAATTTATTAATTGAAAGACAACCAAAATAAAGACCAAACACGATTATTTTAAATTAATAAAATCGGAACGCACCCAATTACATATATGGAAACGTACCTCATATTTTCTAAACAATATGAATTGATCTCAGACATACCCTAAGACGGATATGGGATAAATAATGATGACGTAACGTTGAACGATCTTTGTACAGACTACTGCATACAATTAAATCAGTGTATAAGTTTGCTTACATAAAAAATAGTTGAGTGTAAAGAACGGTAAAAATTAAATTTCAGTGACACTGTTTAAAAGTACCAAAGTTTGATTACTGAAAGTTTAGACTGATATATGTTTAATTCAAATCTAACCTATATGTAAGAAGTCTCATGACTGAGCTGCAATAATTAAACAACGTAAATCCATGCGTTTGTACACTTCTTCAATATGAAGGTTAAATTCTAAACATAAAATTAATTCACTAAGGCAATACATATCTAGAGTATAGTAATATTTCTATTTTATTCTAGTAATTAGTCGAAAACTGACTTGACATTTAGTAATTTATGTGTGTTGAGTAGGTACAATGAGAGTAATGAAAGAACGTGAATCATGAAATAATGTCTGTTTCAAAAATAAATGATAATACATCAATACTTATTTACTTATACTCTCCTTGTTGGAGTTTGTTTACGTCTAAACAAATGCGATGTCCAAATTTTTTAAGATATAAAAACTATTGACATAGAGACCTGGAGAAACCCGCCATCTGCATTTTAATGTGTAAGACAATCATGGAGATATCCTAATTGAAATTCAAACGTGTTAAAGAGAGACAAACCATAAGCTGATCAACTACTCCTATGCGGTATTGCCGGTTTTCTGTTAGAATATTGTATGTCAATCACGAAAGCGTTCGGGTATAAATGCAGCAAGGGTTAGATTTTTAAATATCAATAATTAAAGTAATTTTGGTCCTAATACCTCACATAATGCTTCACGTTCTGTTGGTGTACCCCTTTAACTCAATTTTTGCTATTGACCCTAATCCTAAATTATACATACAGCACGTAAGAACCGGCAACCTTGCATTTCTTTGTATCTCTATCAACTGGTTGTAACATAGAACAATTATTTTTATGTTTGGCTTGCTCATTAAAATACAGACTACGTATTTAGAACGACTAAACAGGTATATGAAATACTTATGCATTTTAGTATAAAACTTTAGTCATAGTGACTTTCTATAAAAAAACACATAAGTATAACTTTATGTTCTTTTACGTATGTTATAAATGTTGACTGTCACAATTACTCCTTAAATTTAGAGGGTTTAACGAATCTCTTTATTTTGGACAATTAAAAAATAAATCTAATACAATTTGTATTTGAGAGCATAACAGACATATTATAAAAGAATAATAATATATATCTGTTTTATGAGACACATTTTTAAAAGGTCAGATCACATAATTACAATTTAGTCATGTTCTGTTATAACAGTAATTTAATAATTTGTCAACAATGTAACACATCTGTTGGACACTCTGTTTTTCAAAAATTAGATTAAAATAGCAGACTCGCCTAATACACAGACACAAAAACTAAGATATCAACTAAATAATATTGCAACTTGTGTTTGATAGATAGAATAACAATTTAAAAACAACAGGAAATAACGAAAATCCATCATAAATATGTCATAAAAAGAGCTTAGAAATTCTGAGACTAAGCTTCATAACCAGGAATAAATAAATTTTTGATAATGTACTCAACTATTCTACGGTATTTACTACGAAATTCAGACAATTAGGTATATTTTAGGAGTATATCTATTTCCGCCAGTTTACGATTTAGGTGCGAACATCCCCAAAATGGCGGCGCAAATTTTCTGAGGGTTTGTCTCGTCCGGATACATCTGCATCACCTGGATTACCTGTTCTTCTGGGAATATGGCTGCCAAATGATAGTGCAGTTTTCGTCTGGCGTCTTCCTGAGATCCGACGGGGTTCCACTGACCCGGCCAAATGTTCAGTTGGGAATCGGAACAGCTCGACATTCTGTGCATGTGACGAACTGACGGTGCTTGCTGAAATTAAAGAAAGAAATCATAAGACGATATTACCACAGATTAGGTACACTATATGTATACAGATAAAAATCTTGTCTCTAAGCCTAAGAACATAGTGAGGCGACGAGGATAGCGGCGAGCAAGCAGCGCGACATCGCGTCCAAAACAAGCATGTGAAGACAAGTACGTGCGAACATAGTAAAGCGAACTGCTCGAGCGGCGAGATCGATTCAAATAATTTTGTTTTCGTCGGTCTGTTGCGCTGTAGAAAATGATAGATTCTCAAAAATTAATAGATTTAGTATTTGTAAGAGAGATTTAATGGGATCAGAAAGATAGTAATCACCATAACCGGTACATTTTAGATAAGTTATGAGATGAAGTGGCAACAAATTTTCGTAAAGCTTATAAAACTTGCCATACTTTCTCGGGTTTTTGAAAAATGCATCTAACCAAATGTTTGCGACAGTACTGCCTAGAATTTTAGACACTGTTTACATTTTAAATTATCAATAAGCAAATGAAAATAATAAAATTGCACAAGTATCTCGCTATTCCTCGCCACTCTACTATGTTTCAGCACCTCGAGGCTTGCTCGACGCGGTATCGCGCTGCTTGCTTGCCACTATCCTCGTCACGCCACTATGTTCTTAGCCTAATTCGTGGTACAAAGATTGTTTTTTATGACGATGCACAAACGAGTAAAATTTCCTGTGCGTAAAAATATACTCGCGTTTAAACAGCGTAATAACTGGGCCGGTCAGGCGGTGTGCACCATTTTAGAGGTACTAGTGCGCCTAACTAGTGCGCGACTCCGAAAATTGGAACCACGAAAAACAATGCTTTTGACGATAAGTTTATAATCTGTATAAACTGTGATATTACTAACTATAATACGGAGCGATCAACAATGATTGAATTAGCTAGAAATACTGTGTTAAAGAATTTTTGAATTAGTGATAAGAACTGACTTTAAACAAATTATTTATAGATCAAAAAAGTTTAGCAAATTATGTCAATTCATTATTGTTAATTTTCACTTCCTTATCTTATATAAAATCGACATATTTTTGAAGCGAAACGTCTTTACGCGCTATGGGAGTAAAAACTGAAGGTCGTGACACAGAAGACGCGAGAGGAAAAGTGGTAACGATAGTCGGAACTCGGGCCCTAGATGAGCTCTCGGGCTGAAACTAGGAATGCTCAAAATCCCCTATGTTTTCATGGTATTTTGACGACGTTTCGTGCTTTATGAAATACCATCATCGATGGCGAAAAAATCGTCCGATTTAATGGGTCTTTGGAGCGTCGTAACTCGGGCCCTATGTGAGCTAGGGGGCTGAAACTCGGAATGTAGATGGAGCTCGAAGAGTATGGTTGCGACACGTGTCACTATGACTGTTAGTTTTGACGTAAGAAACGTCAATCGTTACCATCTTCTGATGCGTATCAAATACTCGTCAACGAGTAATGGCAGTAGTAGTAATACTAGTTTGCAAACAGGTTAACACTTTCGATTTCAATAACATAGAATATTTCACAGGGAAACTAATAATAAGCTTACCCCAGTCTGTTGCGCCGGCATTCCTGTCCATCCCGCACTGCCTCCCTGTGCGGTTTGGGCCCCGCGATACGAGTCAGGAGCGCTGGCGATCCTCGTCACGCACTGATGCATGTCGCCCCAGCCCGAAGTACTCAGGTACCCCCCGGGGGGAGCCACTGGTCCCGGACTGGGTGGCGCGTACCTTCTCGAGGCAAGTCTGGTGTCGCCGCCTGGATTCAACGTCAGCTGTCTTTGCAGTTTCCTATATAAAACATATCATATCAAGTGAAATATTAATACTCAAACTCCTGTGGTACCATATAAAGTTTTTTCTCCAAGATTTGGATATTCGAGCTTTAACCCAATTTTAATGTTGCTATTGTACATATAACTATGCTGGCAACTCTTACTTTTGGGTCGGTATTTACACTATGGAAATAAATCGCATAGAGATTTTATTAAGTCGGAGTGAGAGAAATGCGACAGTGTGCTGTTGCGGCGTTGCTACATTTTCCGTTGCGCCTTTCCCTGTCAAGTAAAGTAAAATCACGATCGCAAACCGCTTATTTTTAAAAGACTTTTATTTTCGAAAAGATAACTAGATAAAATCATTAGATGTGCATGTTTCTGAGCATCTGAAATGGAATTATAAGGATATCGTTAGGGTGTCCATTTTTTATAACAAGAAAACGTCAGTAATCGCGATAATTTAAAAACTCAACTTTTTAACACATAACGCGCGATAACTCAAGAACCCCTTTAGATATTGAAACTGTTTTTATTTTGAAGTTTGGATCTTTTACAAGACGTTTAAATAAAAAAAATCGATAGGCTTGTTTTTTTTTTCATTCAAAAATTTTAAAAAAAACATCCACTTACTTTTAGTGCATAGCAATTTTCAGCAATCGTGTAACTTTTTATTTATAAAGATTTTCACATACTGCCTGTTAGAAAATATAGCAGAAATATTAAGAAAGTTTTTAAGGAAAAACTATATCAATTATTTTTAATGGATTTCGAGATATCCATTTTTGAATTCAGAATTCTAATAGCGCGACCACTGTCGAACACCAGCTCAATTCCACGTATTTTTAACAAAAGTGCAAGTGTTTTTAACGTGCACTTAAAAATTAACAAGCTATAGAGAAAATTACGACTCGTTAATAAATAAACAAATAAAGGATCACGAAATGTAATTAAATCGTGAAGCTGAACGAATGATGTACACCTTTCCCTAGAATTTTAAGTACTGATTGGGTCGACCGCGACGAATCTGCTATATCCCCTTCCACGTTTCTTAGCAATGTGCACAGTTTCTCGGTTTATTTCATACGTTTTTACTGTTCTCTTTTTGCTCAGTACATTATAAACGCATTTTACTCTTCTTACATACAGAAATCTCGACCTAAAACTAACCTTTGCCAGCCCTTAGTATAAAAAAAATGTAATGAAATAATCCAATTGAAACCACCACAATTCCACAATAACATAGATATTAAAAAAACATGAAAAATACTAAAAAAAACAAATAATTACCTGTGCAGGTTGTCAGGCGTTGATGTCTGATAAGAATAACCACCCATGGTGGACTTCTCAGGGGTGGCTTGGAATGAGAACGCATCCGATTGATAGTGGGGCGACTGCGTGAGACCACCGACGTTGTCTACGCTGCGCGATTTCGAGACAACTGCGTGCTGGTTTTCTTTAGGTGGAGGCACGTTGGAACGCGTGCGACCTAAAGGATTTTTACGAATGTCACCACCTGAAAAAAAACTATTTGTAAAGTAAAGGAGATACTCAATGATTAAAATAATTGCTAAGGATTTTAGGATTAATGATTTATAGTAATAATAAAACAAATTATAGATCGAAAAATTTTAGCAAATTATGTCAATTCATTGTCGTCAATTTTTTGTTTGTTTCTTTTTATTCTTGAAAATTTACAGGTTTTGACATTTTTATTTGTGGGATCTACATAATTTTCAAAGTAAATAATTAGTATTTATCAATACAAGTACAGTATTCAACATAGAAAATAAATTCTTACATAGTAATGGTATATTTTCGCCCCGGAATTCAAAATAATGTTTATAACATTATTTTTTGAACGTAATCAACGAAATACTTCTTAATCAATACAGAATCGCAGTTTTGAGCACGGTTTAATTATCAAACATATAGGAAGATAATTTCAAAATAATGTTAACAGGTAAGTACCAAAAGAAGATGGAACACGATAAACCCATACCGGGTGTTTTTCAAAAGTGGTACGCCCCTATAACTTTTATTCCAATTCCAATTCTTAAAAGATGTTAAAGAACTATTTTTTATGGCTCATCTCTATATTTTTTTTCAGATAAAAAAATGAAATTTGGTATATGACATAAATCGGGATCGTTTGACGTATTCAATTAGTTTTGATCGCTTCCTGTTTCACCGGAAATTACTACAACTTTTGATTTTTAAATGGTACCCTCGGTATTTTTAGATAAAAGAAACAAGTTTAGATTGAAAAGTACCCATAAGAACAATGTAATTACTATTTGGCGCTATTCTTACAACGGTCGCTCTCCAAAGCTTTTGATAATTTCGGAGCGGTTCGGCTTTTTCCGGAATTATGTCGCCAAATATTATTTATTCAATTTTGTTATTTCCTTTTAATTTTTTAAATAAAATACAGTGTGTTGCATACAACAAACTTTATTTTATATAAGGATATGTATGAAATACCTATAAAACATTGGAAACCGACGTTATGCCACGATCCACGATGGTTTTTACAGTTCACAGTTCACACAGCTTTTTAAGTTTTTAATGCCACTTTTTCACAAATATCAAAACTTAAATTAAACTCACAAGATAGCAATAATTACTTTGAAAATGGACGCTTTAAACACTTTTCAGTATTTTTTCAATGAGGGCGGTTTAAATTTTGAAAGATTTTATTATTTTTCAAGATTCTGACTCTGACAAGAGAAAATTATTTCTGTTCTTGTTTGCGGTTGTCCTTAGCAACTGCTATAGCAGCGCCCTGCAACGTATGTGCTCCAAAACAATAAGTTTTGGCGGCAAGCCGAGCATTCCAATCTAAACTTGTTTCCTTTATCTATGACGACATTCTGACTAGAATGACATATATGTCAACTTTTGACATTTTCAGTTAAAAAAAAGTAGCATTTTAAATTTCAATCTAGAGTGCCATGGCTGTGTTAAACCATTAGTTATTAATCAAGGAGCTTTGGAATAATATATTTGAGGGTTTAATGTTTTAGTGTCTTTTCCTGGCCGGTTAAAAGATGCCCAAATCGAATTTTAATCATAACTCAAATTTTTTAAATGGAACGAGGGTAGCTCATTAGTATATTTAAAATAAGCATTTTTTTACGAATAATTTGGTACCATATACCTGGTATTTCGAGTCAAACTGTCCTTACATTTACATCCCTGGCACTTTAATTGAAATTTAAAATACAATTTTTTTAAGTAAAAATGTCAAGAAAAAATTTCAACAAAAAAATAGCGAGTCGAGACTTCTGAAGCAGTTAGTTTGTATTCGACAAGTCGATGATAAATCCAAAGCCCACATATTTGATATAAAGAGCACACGGGAAAAACGATGAGGGTCCAAAAACGATAAATGTTCAGGAAAACGTTTTTAATTCAAATTACGCATGGGGTTTTATCGTTTTTCCCATTTTTAAATGCTTGTTTCTATGTGACCGTTATCGATATTCAGGTTTATTTAGATAGCAAAAAATTTACTTTCATCGTTTTTCCCGAGTGCTCTTCATATGGGAAGTGTCCGCCATTTTGGATTTTATGTTTTATTCCCATTTTCGCACCCTCTTTGCATTTTTTCGATAAAAAAGGTGTGAACAATTTGGTAGAGTAATAAGTAAATTCTGTATAACTTTTGTATAAGTAATTTTGAAAAAAATATCATTTGAAACTTGCCTCCAAGATTTGTATAATGCAAGGCAAGCTTGTGTGTGGGTCAATGTTATCTTAGTAAAAATGCTAATATATTCCATTACCATAACAATGCTCTAAGAATGTAGAAAAAATTATGCATTAATAAGACAAAGTTAATTATTGTAAGCCATTTTTTAACATTAAAATTAACTGTATCTCTATGAATCAAGTTTCAGAATGATGTAAGGAGATTGAAATAGTTACATGTAAATATCATTGCACTGATATCTCTAAGTTTCATTATTAGATTTAAATTATGATATTTAATTTTTTATAGAGGATTTTTAAATTTCGTATTGCATGCATAAAAAGAGTTAATAGCATATTAAATTAAATTAAAATATAACTTAAAACGCATAAAAGACAGTATTACCTTCTTTACACTCCCGGGCCTGTAAGTGCCTTTGAGCGTGCTCTGATAACCGTTCCGTTACACTTTTATGTGGTAAAGGTCCTCTTTCGGGATGATGATACTTGCACTTGTTTCCGTAGGTACACTTCTTCCCATAAGGGCATGGTGGAGGTGGCGGAGTACCAGTTACCTCACCCTATAACACCCAAAAATATAAGTTAAAAAAGTTGAACTAGAGAATAAAACTACTAAAAAATGTATTTAATTGCTGCTGCAGTCTAAAAAGCATATCTACCAACTTAGAAATTAGAGAGGTCTACTTGAGAAGAGAATATATGATTTTCTTTGTTTTTTACCTTTCTTGGCTGCGCTCTTAAAAAGTTATCCAACGTTGGACCAGATCTACCCAAAGGATCGTCAGGTGGCATAAAATGGTCGTTTACAAAGGAATACATTAATATTCTCTCTCCAACCACTTTCCGAAATTCTACACTTTCTTGACATAGATCCCTAAAAGTAAACAAATTATGACTAGGATGATTATTTTTAACTAAATAAAAACACATATACATAGGTGTTATTTTTTCGTGTTGTTCTGTTTAAGTCTTACCAAAGTTTACAGAATTACATAAAATTATTCTGTAAACTTTGATCTTACTATTGAAAACTTTTAAAATATCTGCGACAATAGTGTGTAACAATTTCAAAGGAAAATTTTGACAGACGACATCCAGAAAATGACAGAAATTAATATGATATGCCTGTGAATTATAATGAGTCACTGTCACGCATCCTCCCGTTGTACATATCAATTTAAAATAATATGGAAGTAAATAGTTAAGCTTTTTTTGACACACTATACCGGATGCGTCTTTAAAGTGGCTCACCTATATAACTTTTTTATTTTTTCAGTTAAAAAAACGAGATTTGGTGTGTTAGTATATGACACAAATTAGGATTGATTGACGTATTCAATTGTTTTCGGTCACTTTCTGTTTCACCGGAAATGACTACAACTTTTGATTTTTAAACCCTCAGTATTTTTTTACTTTATTCGATAGAAAATAACACTCTGAATAGAATGACAGGTCATATGTCAACTTTTGACATTTTCGCATATGGTTTATTTGAAAGTATAACCTGCGGTTTACGTAACGAAAATGTGAGTCGAGAAATACCAAGTGAATGGTATCAAATTATTCGTAAAAAATGCTTTTTCAAATATGCTAATGAGCCACCCTCGTTCCATTTGAAAAAATTGAGATACAGCCAGGACAAGACACTAAAACATTAGACGATCAAATCTATTTTTTCAAAGGCTCTTTGATTAAGAATTAGTGTTTTTTAACATAGCTATGGCACTCTAGAGTGAAATTTAAAAATACAATTTTTATTTAAGCGAGAACGCGTCAAAAGTTGGCACATGATTCTATTCAGAATATAATTTTCTATTAAACAAAGCAAAAGGAAATATACCGTGGGTGTCATTTAAAAATCAAAAGTTGTAGTCATTTCTGGTGAAACATGAAGTGACCAAAAACAACTAGAAGATGATGATCAATCCCCAATTTATGTCATATACTAACATACGAAATCTCGTTTTTTTATCTGAAAAAATAAAAAAGTTATAGGGGTGAGCCACTTTTGAGACGCAACCGGTATACTATCCATTTGTTAAATAATACATAATAATTAGAGATATCGTTATTAGTTTATTTATTTTACTAATCGTTGTGACTGAAATATTTGAAATAAATATCAACTCAAAAAAGCTTATAATATACAAAACTAATTTTCTACGTCTGGACATGTAAAAAATGTAGAAAATTAGGTGGTGTAGAAAATATAAAATTTTCTACCTACCTAACCCTGCATAGAGCAAATTATTTTAATAGCTAAAATCGTTTGTTACCTGTAATTATCGTTACTAACAACGATGCCATCGTTCTGTGCTGCTAATTTTAAAATATATCTATCGTCGTAACACACCATCCTCTTTCCGCCCACTAAACGCGAAGGAGTAAAAACTAACAGTCTGTCTCGCTCTAGTTCCGCCAAAATGTCTTGGTCCCTGATGGGATTGTCCGGCCTCGGTGCCTCTTTCCGCCATTTTGGAACAAATACCGTTATGTCCTTATGGCCACGAGCCTAAAACCACATTACTAAGTTAGTTACTAAGGCAGACAGAGCACTTAAAAATAAGTCCTCAAAAAGTGTATTTTTCTATATAAATCCAATGCTATACAGGGTGGCGCCTCTCATACGCCGCGAAGGCTCCAAAAAGAACGACAGTTTGTATTGAAATTAAATTTTGTGAGCATATGTAGGTTAATTCAGAGCACTTTTTAAAAATATAGAGAGTTCTACAGGGTGTCCCCAAAAAAAGTTACATATCAAAGTTGTGTTTTTTGTAATGGAAAACTCTATATATTAATTGATTTTCGGATTCTAGGAGAAAAATAAATGGAACACCCAGTATATTATTTCGATATTCAATGAAGAATTCATGTCTTTTCAAAATACAATTAAGGTTGCCTACCCCTCAAACAAAGATTTTCCTAGATATTTTCATTTACATGATTTGATGTGAGTAGATCTTTATTATTTGATAAATTCTAGGTGGTTGTGATATGTCTGACGTTACTTCAACATAGCTGTCTAATTAGTCCAATTTTAACAACTAGTTATCATTTTGTGTCAGTTAAAACACACACACACAAAAAGAAAAATCACAGAAATTTGCCGAAAATGCAAACTTATCCTGCATCAGAGAGAATTGATATGATTCTATTAGTTGGCGAATGCAGTGTGCATTCACCAATTAATAGAATACTTAAATGCTCCTGATTTTATCTAGTCTGTTTTTTTTATGAGGATATGTTAAAAACAGCGTTTACAAAACACTGGTCCCGGACTGGGTGGCGCGTACCTTCTCGAGGCAAGTCTGGTGTCGCCGCCTGGATTCAACGTCAGCTGTCGTTGCAGTTTCCTATACAAAACATAGAAAAGATATTTATTTCTCAATATAAAAATTGTGTATCAATAAAAATTATCTATATTTTTTAGTTCTCCTTTGGTTGATAGAAAAGTGGAATATTAATACTCAAACTCCTGTGGTACCATATAAAGGTTTTTTCTCAAGATTTGGATATTCGAGCTTTATCCCAACTTTTGTTGTATTAACCCTTAATGTTGTTATTATACATATACTATGCTGGCAACTGTTACTTTTGGGTCAGTATTTATAGGTGTGGAAGTAAATCCATAGAGATTTTATTAAGTCGGAGTGAGAGAAATGCGACGGTGTGCTGTTGCGGCGTTGCCACATTTCTCTGATGCGCCTTTCCCTATCAAGTAAAGTAAAATCTCGATCGCAAAGCAATTATTTTTAAAAGACTTTTTTTCAAAAAGATAACTAGATCAAATTATTAGATATGTTTCTGAGCATCTGAAATGGAATTATAAGGATATCGTTAAGGTACCCATTTTTTATAACGAGAAAACGTCAGTAATCGCGATAATTTAAAAACTGAACTTTTTAACACATAACACGCGATAACTCAAGAACCACTTTAGATGTTGAATTTTTTTTTATTTTAAAGTTTAGATCTTTTACAAGATGTTTAAATAAGAAGAATTTGATAGGCTTGTTTTTTTTTCAAAAACCCATCCATTTACTTTTAGTGCATAGCAATTTTCAACAATCGTGTAACTTTTTTATTTATAAAGATTTTCACATACTGTTTGCGAAGAAAATATAGCAGAAATATTAAGAAAGTTTTTAAATAAACTACACTCAATTATTTCTAATGGATTTCGAGATATTGTTTTTTGATTTCAGAGTTCTAATAGCGCGACCACTGTCAAACACCAACTCAATTCCACTTATTTTTACCAATAGTGCAAGTGCTTCCAACTTGCACTTAAAAATTTACAAGCTATAGGGAAAATTACAACGACTCGTTAATAAATAAACAAATAAAGTATCACGAGACGTAATTAAATCGTGAAGCTGAACGCATGATGTGTACACCCTTTCCTATAATTTTAAATAGTGATTGGGTCGACCGCGACGAATCTGCTATATCCCCTTCCACGTCTCTTATCAATATACTCAGTTTCTCGGTTTATTTTATACGTTTGGCAACGTTTTTACTGTTCTCTTTTTGTTCAGTAAATTATAAACGCATAGTACTCTTCTTACATACAGAAATCTCGACCTAAAACTAACTTTTGCCAGTCCTTAGTATAAAAAAATGTAATGAAATAATCCAATTGAAACCACCACAATTCCACAATAACATAGATATTAAAAAAACATGAAAAATACTAAAAAAAAACAAATAATTACCTGTGCAGGTTGTCAGGCGTTGATGTCTGATAAGAATAACCACCCATGGTGGACTTCTCAGGGGTGGCTTGGAATGAGAACGCATCCGATTGATAGTGGGGCGACTGCGTGAGACCACCGACGTTGTCTACGCTGCGCGATTTCGAGACAACTGCGTGCTGGTTTTCTTTAGGTGGAGGCACGTTAGAACGCGTGCGACCTAAAGGATTTTTACGAATGTCACCACCTGAAAAAAAAACTATTTGTTATAGTAAGGGGAGATACTCAATGATCAAAATAGTTGCCAAGGATTATAGGATTAATGATTGGTACTAATGCTAACACAATTTATCGACCGAAAAATTTTAACAAATGATGTCAATTATTTGTTTGTTTCTGTTTATTCTTGTAAATTTACAAGTTTTGACATTTTTATTTGTAGGATCTACACTCAGATGCAAAAAAACGCAACGCAAGAAAATTTTAGTTAATCATCAAATCAAACAAATTTAAACTGTTATTTTTAGCCCTATTTTCATGAATTTTTTAGCAAGCTGTGTATAAATATATCAACTTTAATTTGTAAACTCAGTTTTTTATAAACATTAGTATTTGGCATATTATACAGGGTTAATCGAGGGGTTGTTTTTTTGCCCTAACTTTGACACACCCTGTGCAATAATTTCGTGTGTAAATTTCCCTAAAATATAATTTTAGGGTCAGAACCATGTCTCCTGAGCATTTTGTTTTTTGGATCATGTCAATACATACCTTGGTTAATTTTTAAGAGCGAAATAAACTTGCCACCAACAATTTTCAATTTTTTTAATTATAATTTATTTTCAATTTTTAGCCGACCATACCAATAGGTATGGTAGGAAAATGAAAGATTCGTATAATGCAAGGCAAGCTTGTGTGTGGGTCAATGTTATCTTAGTAAGAATGCTAATATATTCCATTACCATAACAATGCTCTGAGAATGTAGAAAAAATTATGCATTAATAAGACAAAGTTAATTATTGTAAGCCATTTTTTAACATTAAAATTAACTGTATCTCTATGAATCAAGTTTCAGAATGATGTAAGGAGATTGAAATAGTTTACATGTAAATATCATTGCACTTCATTCTTACTATGCTTCATTATTAGATTTAAATATTTTTAGAAGATTTTTAAATTTCGTATTGCAAGCACAAAAAAAGTTAATAGCATATTAAAATATAACTTAAGAACGGTCAATATGAAAGGAAGTATTACCTTCTTTACATTCTCGAGCCTGTAAGTGTCTTTGAGCGTGCTCTGATAACCGTTCCGTTACACTTTTATGTGGTAAAGGTCCTCTTTCAGGATGATGATACTTGCACTTGTTTCCATAGGTACACTTCTTTCCATAAGGGCATGGTGGAGGTGGCGGAGTACCAGTTACCTCACCCTATAACACCCAAAAATATAAGTTAAAAAAGTTGAACTAGAGAATGAAACTACTAAAAAATGTATTTAATTGCTGCTGCAGTCTAAAAAACATATCTACCAACTTAAAAGTTAGAGAGGTCTACTTGAGAAGAGAATATATGATTTTAACAGATGAAAAAATGATTGAATTAAAAAGTCTTAAAAACATAACTTGTTTTTTACCTTTCTTGGCTGCGCTCTTAAAAAGTTATCCAACGTTGGACCAGATCTACCCAAAGGATCGTCAGGTGGCATAAAATGGTCGTTTACAAAGGAATACATTAATATTCTCTCTCCAACCACTTTCCGAAATTCTACACTTTCTTGACATAGATCCCTAAAAGTAAACAAATTATGACTAGGATGATTATTTTTAACTAAATAAAAACAGATATAGGTGTTATTTTTTCGTGTTGTTCTGTTTAAGTCTTACCAAAGTTTACAGAATTACATAAAATTATTCAGTAAACTTTGACCTTACTATTGAAAACTTTTAAAATATCTGCGACAATAGTGTGTAACAATTTCAAAGGAAGATTTTGACAGACGACATCCAGAAAATGACAGAAATTAATATGATATGCCTGTGAATTATAATGAGTCACTGTCACGCATCCTCCCGTTGTACATATCAATTTAAAATAATATGGAAGTAAATAGTTAAGCTTTTTTTGACACACACTATACCGGGTGCGTCTTAAAAGTGGCTCACCTATATAACTTTTTATTTTTTCAGTTAAAAAACGAGATTTGGTGTGTTAGTATATGACATAAATTAGGATTTGATTGACGTATTCAATTGTTTTTGGTCACTTTCTAGTTTTACCGGAAATGACTACAACTTTGATTTTTAAACCCTCAGTATTTTTTTACTTTATTCGATAGAAAATAACACTCTGAATAGAATGACAGGTCATATGTCAACTTTTGACATTTTCGCATATGGTTTATTTGAAAGTATAACTTGCGGTTCGTAACGAAAATGTGAGTCGAAATACCAAGCGAATGGTATCAAATTATTCGTAAAAAAATGCTTTTTCCAAATATGCTAATGAGCCACCCTCGTTCCATTTGAAAAAATTGAGATACGGCCAGGACAAGACACTAAAAACATTAGACGATCAAATCTATTTTTCCAAGGCTCTTTGATTAAGAATTAGTGTTTTTAACATAGCTATGGCACTCTAGAGTGAAATTTAAAATACAATTTTTTATTTAAGCGAGAACGTCAAAAGTTGGCACATGATTCTATTCAGAATATAATTTTCTATTAAACAAAGCAAAAATATACCGTGGGTGTCATTTAAAAATCAAAAGTTGTAGTCATTTCTGGTGAAACATGAAGTGACCAAAAACAACTGAATGAGTCAATCAATCCCAATTTATGTCATATACTAACATACGAAATCTCGTTTTTTTATCTGAAAAAATAAAAAAGTTATAGGGGTGAGCCACTTTTGAGACGCACCCGGTATACTATCCATTTGTTAAATAATACATAATAATTAGAGATATGGTTATTAGTTTATTTATTTTACTAATCGTTGTGACTGAAATATTTGAAATAAATATCAACTCAAAAAAAGCTTATAATATACAAAACTAATTTTCTACGTCTGGACATGTAAAAAACGTAGAAAATTTGGTGGTGTAGAAAATATAAAATTTTCTACCTACCTAACCCTGCATAGAGTAAATTATTTTAATAGCTAAAATCGCTTGTTACCTGTAATTATCGTTACTAACAACGATGCCGTCGTTCTGTGCTGCTAATTTTAAAATATATCTATCGTCGTAACACACCATCCTCTTTCCGCCCACTAAACGCGAAGGAGTAAAAACTAACAGTCTGTCTCGCTCTAATTCTGCCAAAATATCTTGGTCCCTGATGGGATTGTCCGGCCTCGGTGCCTCTTTCCGCCATTTTGGAACAAATACCGTTATGTCCTTATGGCCACGAGCCTAAAACCACATTACTAAGTTAGTTACTAAGGCAGACAGAGCACTTAAAAATAAGCCCTCAAAAAGTGTATTTTTCTATATAAATCCAATGCTATACAGGGTGGCGCCTCTCATACGCCGCGAAGGCTCCAAAGAGAACGACAGTTTGTATTGAAATTCAATTTTGTGAGCATATGTAGGTTAATTCAGAGCACTTTTTAAAAATATAGAGAGTTCTACAGGGTGTCCCCAAAAAAAGTTACATATTAAAGTTGTGTTTTTTGTAATGGAAAACTCTATATATTAATTGATTTTCGGATTCTAGAAGAAAAATAAATGGAACACCCAGTATATTATTCCGATATTCAATGAAGAATTCATGTCTTTTCAAAATACTATTAAGGTTGCCTACCCCTCAAACAAAGATTTTCCTAGATATTTTCATTTACATGATTTGACGTGAGTAGATCTTTATTATTTGATAAATTCTAGGTGGTTGTGATATGTCTGACGTTACTTCAACATAGCTGTCTAATTAGTCCAATTTTAACAACTAGTTATCATTTTGTGTCAGTTAAAACACACACACACAAAAAAAATTCACAGAAATTTGCCGAAAATGCAAACTTATTAACACCAATTAAACAATTAACACCAATTAATAGAATACTTAAATGCTCCTGATTTTATATAGTCTGTTTTTTTTATGAGGATATGTTAAAAACAGCGTTTACAAAACTCGACCAACTATTGTCGACAACATGACAGAAATGATTGTAGCTGCTTTTCGAGGTAGAACTCCACATACGCCTTTTAAAATGAAAAGATCATTTTGAAAAGACAATCATTTTATGCAGTTAACAGGAAAGGAAGCATTTTGAGCATTTGATTTCATCTAGCTAATTTTTGTCATATTTTACTCAACAATTTTTAATTTTTGTTAAATTAACAAAAGGTATATCACAGCCACCCCCTAGATTTTTTCAAATAATAGAGATGACTGACGCAAAATCATAAAAATTGAAATATCTAAGAAAATCTTTGCCTGAGAGGTAGACAACCTAATAATATTTTGAAGATATATAAATTCCCCATTGAATACCGGAAAAATATACTGGATGTTCCATTTAAAATAAAGGAGTAACTTGCTTTTAAAAGTGACTAATGTTCCATATTAATTTTGTCTCACCCTGTATAATTTTTCGGGTCAAATTTCAATTTGGTTTAATATACAATGGATACTGTAATTAAATATCAGTCTATACAAAGTCAACTAAAATTTAGGTAGCTGTTATCGAAATTTAAAATTTACTCTTCATTTTCACAAAATGTGAAATATGTCAAAATCTTTCTATAAAGGTAAATCTTTCTCTAGATTTTAGGTATATGCTTCTTTAATAAAACTCACACCCTGTATAATTTTATATATTTTTAAATGCTTTCAGTTAACCTACATATGCTGCCAAAATTTCATTTTGATATAAACTACCGTTCTCCTTGGAGCTTCCGCGGTGTATGAGAGGCGCCACCCTGTACAAAGTATACGGGCTCAAACTTCCGATCTTTGGAAATAATGTATTGTTATTAAAAAAACTTACCTTAAACCAATCGACGCATATCTTAATTCCTCTGCATGAGAAGATTTCTTTATTTCCGTGGCTCATGGCGACATTACTGCCATCTATAACGATGGGTCTTAACGCTGCTTGACTTACATCAAGAATATCAAATCTGAAACGAATAACAACTATAACTCACCTTTGAAATGTCAAATAGTTTTACTATTAAATGTTCTTTTAATTAAGTATGATAAACAAATAATTTAACTATAAATTGCAATATTCCCAGAATTATTTTTATTGGAAGTATATTCCCAGAATACTGAGCACCTTTAGAATGCTTAAAAAAATATTTATATTTTATTTTTAGATATTTAGTAAATAGTTGTCTTATGTGAGTTAATGTTTTCGACTTTTCTACGAATTTTCTATAAATATTAGTTTTCAAAATCCCATATATTTTTGTATAAAATTATATCATTATTTGTTTACTTTTGACATTTTAACGAAATGCAAATTGCATGTACTCTAATGCATTTCATTATGTTGTAGTCTCTATGTTATTTAACTATATTACTCTTTTTAAGCTTTATTAAAAGAACGAAACTTGTGAATAGAAAAATTAAGGTAAGAGTATAATATTATCCATGTATTCATGAATTAAAGAAGGAATCGACATGATGAATCCCCTTCTATGACAGTTCTGTTTGACGTTTCAAACTTAGTGACAGAATCCATTTGAAGTGTCTAGGGGAAAAACATGATAAGCGCCATTTTACTAATTTTACAGGAGAGCACTGGACAGGTGGTGGTCATCAGGTTCTTTCCGTTTATGTATATTTTTACAAGGCATATATAATAGGATTTAAGAACTTATTGCCCTGCAGAGTTTATGCCTTTTGTAGATACCAGTTAGACCTACTACACACAGGCAGGGGGGTGACAGTAAACCGGAAAATTGGAAACAGTTGTGGCGCGGTTTACCCAGGCAGAAAGCATGGCCTTCTAGACTGTCCTAGACAAAAATCTGAATATTTCTATATGATTTCTGTCAATTTCTGCTACGGAACATTTTTATGCACGTCGGCGTCCTGTTTTGTCTTTTGTCTGTGTGTCAGCGTCAGCTCCCGAGGCCTCTGGCAAGGTCGGACGCCATTTCAATTTTTGCCGTTTAGATTTGATTGGAAGTTTGTTTCTGATATTTCGGCTGAAATTTATAAGTACAAAGATGTTTTTTGATATAAAGTTCCTTGTTAACACTTTAATAAAGTATATATGATATTAATTACATGAAGAAAATTATGAAATCGACGTTTCTGCGTGTAGTAGGTATGGGCCATATTATATGTAAAAATAGGTAATATATTAACTGTTTTTATATTTTTTTAGCTTTAAACCCAAGGATCTTGAGATATTCTTTGGCAAGGATTTTTCCGTATCTCTACTTTAAAGACTGATCGGTGATTTTGAGCAATTGAAAGCAAGTTATACAAGGTAAATTATGATTATTGAACTATTATTAGCCTACATTAATTTTCTGCAAGATGAACAGAAATGCGTAATTACATATCACATAGGTACCTATTATGTATTTTCATAGCAATAATGCTATAAATCTATGTATGTAGATTATTTTTAAAATATAAATGAGGCATTAGATGTATATGTATCATATTTTTTATTCATTTTATTTTCATTCAAGTCCTGTTTGATTTAATTCACAAAAGTCTTATGTACTTATATTTATGTTTTTTACATATTTTTTTTTGATTCCAGGTTTTGTGTGGGTTCCGGTTGCCTTTTTCCTGCTTCCAGTTATTTAGTTTTATGCCCGTGAAGCTGTGAAAACATTTATTTATCTTCAAGTTTCTGTAAGTCAATGCACTGTTACTTTACTAATTCACTTTAACACAGCATCTCTGATATTATTTAAATATTTGATATTGATACAGTAGTTTATTGGTTTATAGCTCTTTAATTGTGTTGATTTGCATATTTACATTGTTCTAAATTCCAAATAAATATTTTTGAGTAATTTTGTTGTATTATTTACTACTAGAAAGAGTAAAAAGTATATTACCCCCATTTAAACCTCCTGAACAGCCCGCCATTAAAAACCGGAAACGGAAATAAATTTCATAAAATTGAAATTGTCATGTCTATGTCATGTCAAATGCCCCAGCCGCTATATTTGATAATTATTAGTTACCCAGGCAGCCACGCTGTTTCCATAATTTAACATTGACTTGACACTTCTTCTTGTATTTATTATTTTATGCACACAGGGTCCGACAATAGTGCGTCGGGCATCTGTAGCTCCTGGAATAAAAAACTTGAGAATTTTGTTAAATGCAAACCTAAAGTAGATACGAAGATGTATTTCAGGGAAATATTTCAACTTCAGGGTGGCTCAAAAATGTGAATAGATCGGGTGATTTTTTTAAAATGAAACACCCTGTATATTATTGCATTTTTGGTTTCCTTTCAGATTACTTTACATAATCCTAAGATATGAGTAAATATATTTTGATAATTTCAGAGATATTAATAAATAAATAGATTTTTTTTTTCAACCTTTCTTAAAAAAGTTATTACAAATATAAGTACGGAAATCAAAAAAAAAAAATTTGCAAATTTTCGGTAGGCTGTAAAAAAGCATATACATGCAAGCGAATGGGACTCACCTGCACTATGGCATGTGGTCAATGCAATGGCATTACATGTATGAACCCAACAAATGTGGAAGTGAATGAGAAATCCTTAAGATAAGTTATCCTATTTTTGAGCTAAGGTTTTTTCTTATTTTGTATTAAACGTGTACATTTTTCAATATACCTATTTCATGGAAAATTATATGTAAAACTTTAATTTTTCTTATTCAATCTTTTTAAAATGTAAAAAGCGCACATTTAAAAAAATTATTTCTTTACCTATGTGGTAGGAAATTTTCTTCTCTTCAATTTTTTACTCGTGACTTTTATTCCTAAAATTCGTAGTTTTAGAGTTATTGAAGAAAAAGTAAAAAAAAAGGGCCATTTTTACCCTTTGTAGGGGTGGTTTTGGAGTGACGGGCTCAACGGCTCATCGCTGGGGATTCATGATGTTTAAAGATCTACAAAATGAAGCTCCATGCCAAATTTCAGCTTGTCTCTAATTTGTTGAACCTCGACCTGTATAGGCTCTGGGCTATTCATAGAAGTTAAAATGTTTTCCTGAAATACATGCTCGTACATACTTAACTACTACTACTTATTTGCACTTAAACAAAATTCCCAAGTTTTTTATTCTAGGAGCTACAGATGTCCGACGCACTATTGCCTAAACCTGTATAATATTGTAAAACCCTAAAATTAACTAATCGCTGATCATGTTTTACCTAGATTTTTTTTCAGTTTTTAATGTTTTTATGATTCTATACCGATTGGGAGGCCTAATGATAAATTATACCGCATAATCAAAAAAAAAATGGCGTCCAGTTGGCTGGGAAATGACGATCGATGACATTTCCCATATAAATTTAGATAAAAAATGACAGCGTTATAGGTACTACATATTTGGAATGCCCTCGGGAATATCCAATCCATTAATATTGCTTACCTATCTAATAATCCTAAATCACTAACGATACTTTCTGTGGGGCTACTGTCGCACGAACCTCCTTTTTGAGCTCCCAATTTAATCAGTTCAGCTAGGAGCTCGTTCTGAGTCGGAGAAGATCCCAACTTCTGTAACGCCGCTTGGACGTGCTTCTCCGTATAGCCAAGCTTTAAAGCAAATTCAACCCTAAAAAGTAATAAGTACATCATTTGCAGTCGCTTGGCAGTAAAATTATATTTTGGCAGTACATGTACAGGGTGGGTCAAATTCGACGCTTTTAAATGGAAACACCCTTTTCTATAGGAGATAGACAAAAACTAATATCGGTGTCTGGAGCTCAATTTTTGTCAAAAATATGATAGTGAAAACCGCATATCGACATCTGTTACCGTTTCGGAGTTACGGGGTGTTTTTCAAAAATATGCATTTTTAACAAATCGCTGTAACATATTTGCTAATTTTGTATTTTTATGAAAACATTTCCAAAGCACCTTTTTACGTAGAATTTAATGGTTTAAGTATATTTTTTTTTAAATTAACAATTTAAGAATTATCAACAAAAAAATTGATTTTTTATATGGGACACTGTATATTTTTAATTTATTAAAAATAATTTAAAATTGCCTTTCCAAAAATATAACATACTTGATATTTTGCTCGATTCCTCCGAGATATAGAGTATATAAAAATTTGCCCGCTTTAAATAAGTAGTCTTTGAACGGCACCGGCTATAATGCAAATAAATTCTAGCTGTGAGCATCAATTAAAACGAAAATAATATTTGCTATGAGAGATGCAGAATTTGATAATAATTTAAAATATATTTAACCAATATCAACACATTTAAACTATATCTAATAACAATAAAAATAAATAGCAAACCAAGACATGAGATTTTGCTACAGGTGTTTTTGGACATTTTTCGCGGAATTCATTAACTCAGTGGGGGTGAAAGATACCCTCTCATAACTGGTAAGTATTTCTAATTCTTGTTTAGACTATACGGAAGAATAAGGAATCTTTATTCTTGCGCACATATATCCATAGGATTAGGTCCATGGGCACTAAGTCAGGCGGCCTCGACGGCCAACGGCTGGGATCTTGGTTAGCTATTCAATTGTCTGCAAAAATTTGCTGGTAACTTCGGCGTTCTGAGGCGGTGCGTCGTCTTCTTGGAAAAATATGTTTTCGATTTTCATTAAGGGCATATCATCAATAAAGGGTCCAAAGCCTACTAGTTAAAAGTGGCGAACTTTTAAAAATTCTGTATTTCGAAGGGGATTATAACAAAATATCAAGTGTGCTATATTTTTGGAAAGATAATTTTAAATTATTTTCAATTAATTAAAAATATAGACGGTGTCCCAAATAAAAAATCAATTTTTCTGTTGATAACTCTTAAATTATTAATTTTTAAAAAATTATACTTAAACCATTAAATTCTACGTAAAAAGGTGCTTTGGAAATGTTTTCATAGAAATACAAAATATTCCACAGCAAAAAAGTTACAGCGATTTGTTAAAAATGCACATTTTTGAAAAACACCCCGTAACTCCGAAACGGTAACAGATATTGATGTGCGGTTTTCACCATCATGTTTTTGATGAAAATTGAGCTCCAGACACCGACATTAGTTTTCGTCTATCTCCTATAGAAAAGGGTGTTTCCATTTAAAAGTGTCGAATTTGACCCACCCTGTACAATTTTACCCAAGTGAAACCCCTAGTTGTGAGCAGTACCAAGATTTGCGTATGTTACAAATGACATCAGAATCTACATATATACAATGCTAATGTTTATCTGTGTCGTCTCTACTGAAGTAACGACTTGCTCTAGAAAGTTGCTTTTTTTTACTAAAAGATAGCTAATTCGCTCTTCTAAAAACTGTCGTCGCCGGATTTTTTGTTTTTGGCAGTCGCCTATAATAATTACATGGCAGTCATAGGCAGTCTTCTTCGCAGTCATTGGCAGTCGCTTGGTATTAAAACGATATGTTGGCAGTACATGTACATTTTTTACCCAAGTGAGACACCCCTCGGCTTTTTCATTATCTTCTATCCCTTAGTAAGCCACCCAGAGTATAGGAAGACGTCATTTTAACAAAAAATTTCAATTTCAAAAAAATAAAAAATACTTTTTATTTTTTTTTTCATTTAATTAAAAAAAAATAAAAAGTATTTTTTTTTCCTAATGTCGCATGTCGTGGCGGATGCGCCAGGTTTCAACTAGTTGGGTTATAATTTTTTAATAGAAAAGTAATACTATAAATTTTTGTGCTTAAAATGCTTGATTTGATTGGTAAAATTAAATATTGTTCGTTATATACCGATACTTCCAAAATAATTTAAAACAAAGTCTGTCCAACGGGTCAAGAAAGATTTCGACATATGACATCCAAACATGACAGAAAATTACAGACACAGGCACCACTGTCATGGATCCACTCATTGGATCCATATATCAAACATCCTTATAATCCATATATCAATTTATTCCAATTTTAAAAACATTTTATTACCTAGCGTTGTAACCGAGACTAGTTTCTTGCGTTTCCTGGACATATTCGGCGAATTCCGCAGCCAAAGTGTCACTCGTCGTCCTCGACACGTCTTGGTGACTTCCCGACAGGTGGCTCTGGGCTCCATCGTACGCCTCGCAGTCCGAATCGTAGCTGGAATCCTCGCCGGTATTGCTGGACGTTTTGGTCAAGTTGCATCCTTCCAGGCAGATGTCATCTACATATTTCTGCAATGAAGAGAAAAAATGTTAGAAATATGTTTACTGGAATAATACTAATAACGGTCGTTTTAAGTTTGAAAATGAGATTATATAGGTACACTCAGATGCAAAAAAAACGCAATGGAACATTTTTCATCAAGTTTAAAGGGAAAGTCCCTATTTTCATGATTATTTTTTTAGCAAACTGTATACAGATTGTTAACTGGACGGTTACTTATTGAGAAACAAAATTGCAACACTGCCTACATTCCAAATGAGTACTAAACTAAGCTGCCGACTCATCCCGTGTCGTCGCGTCCGTCGTCTCTCGAGGTTGCCATATTTCAACCATAAAGCTCTTACCGCGAGTAATAAACAAATTAACAACCTGTATAAATCTATCAACTTTAATTCATAAACTCATTTTTTGTAAACTTTAGTATTTGGCTTATTATACATGGTTAATTTTTACCTTAACTTTAATGTGCAATAATTTCGTTAATTACTTTTTTCTAAAACATTATTTTTCTGTCAGAACATGCAACGCAGCACACATGTGTTGACTCATGATAACACATGCTTTTGTTAATTTTTAAGAGCAGAATGAACTTGCCAACAATTTCCAATTTTTTCAACTACCATTACTTTATGATATTATTTTTTAATATTACGAAGAGGCTTTGGTGGCTATTGTCGTAATGTCATATCGACACTAATTAGAACTCTATAGTAAAATTTAAAAAATGTTAAAATGTAACGATACCGGCTTGGTTTTAATAAATACTAGTAACACTAAAAGAACTAAGGATATTAAAAAAACCTGTAATAACCTGTAATAACTAAGTAAACAAACAAACAAAAAACTTGTAAAAAATACTGCTTTGTATTGCCTCCCCCGGCTTCTATAACTGTCTGTATACGTCAGTTGTTTATGAGGTTAATGAGGCTGCAAATATGTTGTGTTATATTTTATGTTTTCCCATTCCTCTTCAAGGACCAAGCGAATATTCATAATTTCGGCCATCTTCAACAAGATCAATGACTTTTGCTTCGACTCTAAGAACCATATTAAATCATACACAACAATAATCGACAAAGCTACCTCGTCATTATGAAGAATAATATCAAAAAGTAACGATAACTGAAAAAATTGCAAAATGTTTGTGGCAAGTTCATTTTTCTCTTAAAAACGAACCAAGGCATGTGTTGACGTTGACATGAATCAAAAAACAAAATATTGAGGAGACATGGTTGTGACCGAAAAATAATGTTTTAGGAAAATTTGCTCACGAAATTATAGCACAGGGTGTTTTAAAGACCGGGTAAAAAAACAACTTTTCGATTAACCCTGTAAAATAAGTCAAGTTTCCAAAATTAAAGCTGGTATATTTATATACAGTTTGTTAATAAAATCAAGGAAATAAGGTTAAAAACTAAAAAAAATAACATTTTAAACTTGACCAAAGATGTTTCCGTTGCGGTTTTTTGCATCTGAGTGTAGAATCAGATTCTATTGTGTCCTCCTTTCTTGAGTTATAACTCATCATACAATCTCAGGGCTTTGACGATGGCCAGTATAAGTCAGGCAAAAAAAGCCAGTATGTGAGACGGAACACCTCAACACGAGTGCGCCGAGATGACAACCATTCGTGCAATAAACTTTTGTACGACTGATATCAGAGATGGAGAACTAACTTCTATAAAACCGTCCCAAATACTGGCTTTCAAGAAACAAAATAATTTTGTTTCTTTTGATGCCAGTACATCCCAGACGACTCAACATCACTAATAAACAAATACATTTATTTTTATTTAATGTCGTAAAGAAACGCCTCTTCCAATCGCGAAGTACACGCCAATGACAATGGCAAAAAACATTCGAGTTTTTATCGCGGCTCGTGACGTCAAACGAACCACACGGAGAAGCCGGAATTTAAATTATTCAATTAATTTTCGCAGTTCTTATGTTTTGGTCACGTTTTTTGTTGTGCGATAAACAAAAATATTTTATTTATTTTAAAGATCGCTATGGACTGTTCAGGTTTAGGAGGATATGGAGTAAAACCACAGCCTATTCATGAGACAGCCAGTCAAATGCTGTCAATGAGTTACTTTTTTAGAGGAACTATAGGAAACAAGAAATAGTCATCTTATCCGATAGTCAAGCAGCCCTAAAAGCGATCAACTCAGTAACCATCAATTCAAAGTTAGTAAAAGAATACCTAAAGAATCTGAACGAATTAAGCAAAGAAAATGACGTCCTCCTATACTCTGGGTGGCTTACTAAGGGATAGAAGATAATGAAAAAGCCTCGGAAAAAGCAAACGAGGAGCAGACTTACTAAATGCATTTTGTCCATTTTTCAAGATTTTCAGCCAAAGGTATGTAAAAAATATTTTATTTATTTTAAAGATAGCTATGGACTATTCAGGTTTAGGAGGATATGGAGTAAAACCACAGCCTATTCATTAGACAGCCAGTCGACTTCGCTACTTTTTGAGAAGGCCTCATCCACATGCAGACAGTGAGAGCATCAGTCTTGATAGTTTTAATAAACGGAGCTTCAATGAAGTTCAGAATCCGACGTGTTACATAAGATAAGCGAATACAAAAAGAATTCTGTTCAAACAAATATAGAAAGGAACGCAGAGTTTCATGTAAATGATCGTAAAGCCCTATACTTACTATTCGCTGATACGGTTTTATTACGCTGATACTTACTATTCGCTGATACGGAGTTTCATGTAAATGATCGTAAAGCCCTATACTTACTATTCGCTGATACGGTTCGTCGATGTTATTCGTCCAAAATCCGCGACTTCGCACGACGAATTCAGAAAGAATCGTATACACTATCACACAAAGGTAGAGAAACTTTTTAAAGCTCGTCGGATTTCAAAAACCTCTAATATTTAAAATAATGTTTGTTTTAAGCATATTTCCTTTTAGCAATACCATCATTTTTTGCCACATTCCAAATTTATCTTATCAGCTGTTTATTTATAATATGGACAAAAATATTTTTGAAGGGACATAAATAAAGAAACCAGTATAAAAATTGACCATACTTAGTAGTTATTTGTTTAAGGTGAAAACTGTTGATATTCTGATTTACATTGTTACTAAATATGTCACGCGGAAGTTATTTGTCTGAAGATCTTCACGAAAAAATAATCAACGCACATCGGAATGGTGTACGGTAAATGGACGACATAAGCACAATGTTTAATTTGCATAAGTCTGTCATTAGCAAAACGATTCCAATTTCAAAACTCGCAATTCCTTAAAGACTATTAAAAAAGTGATCGGCCAAGGAAAAGAACGAAAAAATTGAAATGATAATTAAAAAAATCGCCTTAACTATTCCGCATAAATCGGCAAATCAAATTTTGAGTGAACTACCTGGTGTCAATAGCTCTAAGCTCTAAGACCATCCAAAGAAGGCTAAGGGAAGCAGGATTATTTAGCAAAAGAGCAGCCAAACAAACACTCATCAGTAAGAAGAACCAGAAGGCCCGACTTACCTTTGCAAAAAAAATATTTGCACTGGTCGACGAATAACTGGAAAAAGCTCATGTTTTCAGATGAAAGTAAATTCAATATATTTGGATCCGATGGCATATCGTGGATACATCGCCCAGAAGGGAAAAGATTTGATCCAAAGTATACCAAGGCCACTGTAAAACATGGTGTGGGGATGCTTCTCGGGCTATGGCATGGGACCACTGCATGTAATAGAAGGAACAATGGATCGATTTATGTATTTGGACATCTTAAAGAAAGTGATGATTCCGTTTGCTGAAGATAATTTGCCCTAAACCTGGATATTTCAGCAAGATAATGATCCGAAGCATAAATCGAAAGTCTTACAAGAACGGTTTTTGTCTAAATAAATTAGGGTTATGGACTTTCCTGCCCAAAGTCCAGACCTTAACCCCACTGAAAACCTGTGAGAGGAACTAGATCGCCGGGTAAGACGAAGTCACATTAACAATAAGAAATATTTGATAAGAATTTTGAAAGAGGCCTGGAATTCCATTGAACCAGATACCATAAGATACCCATTATTAATTTTATTAGGTTAGCAACAACTATGTACTTGTAATTTTTATATTAATTTTTAGTTTCTCTATTTTTGTCCCTATAGTTTTTTTATTTAACTGAATAAAATCTTAAGTTTTCGTGGGACATGTACTTATTTCATTTAAATAAGAACTATTTAAGTATCTTTAATTTTAACAATGCATAAAATGGCCTCGCCTGTTTAACAAAAAAGACACAATTTTAAAAAGTTTCTGTACTTTTGTCCAATAGTGTATGGTATTCGAATTGAAAAAGCTTCGAAATGTATTCGATTCTCGAAAGTATTCGAATTCAAAAGAAATCGAAATACAGGGTGTCCTAGAAATAAGTGCAATTTTTTTTCTGAAAAGAAGTCGAAAATGTTTATTTTTCTTGATATTTTTCGAAAAATGTTGAAACACTTTTGAGTCCCACTGTTTATTTTCGGGAAATTCGTTTTCAGTGCATAGAGATAATCTCGGATAGAAGAAAGAAAACCCAGAAAAGATCCAGGGGTACTCAAAATGTAAGCAAAAAATATATATTTTTTTTAAAAATTTCGAAGTAATATATCTCTGTTATTTTGGACTTGTTTGAAAAATGGCAAAGAGAAAATATGTTTCTATTATCCAGATCTACCAGCCTTGAAAATATCTGCACTTATTTAAAACACACCCGGTATAATTGTAATGAGGAAGATGCATATATTTTATTTTTCGCCAGAAACTGTTCAATTTATTAGAATAAATATGTATAAATGCAAAAAAAACTTTTTTCTTCAAAGCAATACCACAATTTTATAAAACGGGCCATCAAAATACTATGGATAACGCAAACAACGCCTCGCGAATTGAAACGATATTCTATTGGTCTGACGTCACCCGCCGTTCTCGTCGACGCGCGATGGCAGCCAGACGTGTTCCGTTTATGTACGTATTTAGGTGGCGTACTAAAACATTTTTGTT